TTCTCTTTTTCTTTCATAGAATTTTGTTTATTCATGTATTTTTGAGAAGGTAGTTATCATCCTTTACTTTCAAGTGCAGGACTCCTTTAAGTATTTCTTATGGGCACAGTCTGATAGTTTTGAATTGTCTTAGTTTCTGCTTATCTGAAAAAACTTTATTTCATTTTAATTTCAAAGGATAATTTCACTGGGTATAGTATTTTTGATTAGCACCTTTCTTCTTTCACTATTTTGAAATCACCATCCCATTTTCTTTTGGCCTATATGATTTCTTCTTTGAAACCTTCTGTAGATCTTATGATCCTTCTGTTATGTGCTTTATTCTTGCTGTTTTGGATTCTCTATATTTCATGTACTTTTGAAATTTTGACTATGTTATACTTTGGTGAAGATCTATTTTGGTTGTATCTGCTTGGGATCCTTTCAGCTGCTTGAATCTGAATGTTCACATTTCTTTGAATATGTGGCAAATTTACTGCTACGTTTTATGAAATGGATTATCAATATTGTCTCCATTTTCATCATTGATAACATCTTCTCCAATGTCCCAGGGGAAAGCATACAAGTGGTACTGGAGCATTTGCAACCAGATGTAGTGGTCAGAAATACATGATTATGGGGAACATATTTCCTTGGTATTCTGGGGCATGTGAAAATAATGTTTAGGCTTGTGGTCCTGGAATCCATGCTCTTTGATATGGGATATGGGAGACAAGCTTCCCTAGGTCTGAGAGGTTGAGCACAAAAAGAGTGCTAGTATTTGTGGCTTTGGTATATGTAGCTAGAGCTACAGGGCAGGGGCAGGAATGTTCCAAGATAGTGTATATCACACTCTAATATGGAAAGACTTTTGGAATAAGCAGTTAAAATCTTGGACCTGAAGAATACTAATGAGCCCCACTTCTCATCCCCAAGGAGAAACTTGAGTGATGGTCAAGCTTTTTGCACCAGCAATTGTGATCCTAAGGTCAAGGGCTGGAAAAGGGAATTTCCCAATTCCCACTGAAGTAGCAAGTATCACCTTGGTTATGGCAAGTGGTAACCATATTCTTGAAACTACAGGACATAACTCAGAGATTCCCCAGCTTTCAGTGGACATATATAGATGAAATCAGTGCTCTGAAACTGTGTCTAGAATCAAGCTAGGCCATGTGTAGGCAGGGTTTGGAACTACTGGTAAATGCTTTCTTGGAGTTGTGGGACTTAGCTGGGGGCTTTGTTAGATTCCAATGGACAGATCCTTTGCAACAGCGGTTTGCAATCCCAAATTTGTGGACTGGGAAATACACCTTCCCTAGGTTTGCATGGTAAGCACAAGTGTGATTCTGGCTGGTGCCTAAGGCAATCACTTGTCTGAAGCTGCATGATGTTGAAGGAGATGTTCACCAACCCAATGTCCTGGCTTGGTCAAGGATTTGGTTACAGGTCCCATAGCCAGGTCCCACAATCCCATGGCATCTAGAAGTTGTTCTTATAGTTTGAATGATAGGGACTAGGGAGGTTGTCAACTGTCTTTATAGCACAGAAGTCACTTTTAGACCAGAGAGCTCCCCAAATTGGATTTAAAGACAACTATGTCTTTATAACATAGAAGTTAAAGACAACTATGTCTTATATTAAAGACAACTATGTCTTTATAGCATAGAAGTCACTTTTAGACCAGAGAGCTCCCCAAATTGGATTTAAAGTCTTTAAGGACCACGGGATTCTGTAGTTAGGTCTGAAAATCTCCTGCTATGATATGGTTTCTGGCACTGTCTCACTTACCTTTTGCTGACAGTATCAGATTCTCTGGATCTGTATTGGTAGCTAGCATTAAAGTTGTGAATTGCTTTGTTCTTTTAACTCAGTTGCCCTTCTGATGCTCCTCGGGGTTCCTGCCATTTCTTTGCTAATTTTCAGAGTTCTTCCTCTCTCATTTTCCTTGAAAAACAGTTTCTCCTTGGCTGCCTTGATGCTGAGATTCATGCCCATGGACTGTCTATTCAATCATCTTGTCTCCAGTGCTGCCATTTTTATACTTTATGCTCAGGGCAAGAGAGGCATCTGTGGTGCAAATGTCAGGAAACCCTACCTTCAGGTTTATTTCAGTGCCAGCCCTGTCTTTGCACAGACCTGACAGCAAATGCCTCTTTGAATTCTGCTCCCTGCGTGCTTCACCTTCTCAGCTTCAATAGAGTTCTAACTCTGCTTAGATGTGTTCAATAAATATTGAGAACATAGAAATCACTTCCTCCACGCTGGCCAGAAATGATTTATTCTCCTCATTCTTCTTCATGTCTAGTGTTGTATTTTGGATTATCAAATCATTCAAATTTAAATATATGAAATATAAAGTGGGAACAACATTAAGTAGACTCGTGGTGTTTGGGGACTTCTGGAAATGTAGTAAAACTCACACCCCAGTACAGCACAGGCACATAAGGTGCACAACTCAGTTTGCTGTTTTCCTATGATGTTCCATAGTGAATTAGTACACGTTAGGGAGTTTTTGGAAAATTACTTAGTAGTATGTGTGCCATTCCATTATTCATTCATATAACAAAAGTGTTCTGAGCACTTAACATGCCAAGCACGGTGCCCTGTGCTGAGGACACAGACATGACTGACAGAGAATGGGTCTTATTCCTTCCAGCAATTGTGTGTGTGTGTGTGTGTGTGTGTGTGCACATTTGTGTGTGGTACTATAGATTGAACTGTGGGGCAATCTACCACAATGCTGCATCCTATTGTTTTTTGTTTTATTTTGAAACAGAGTCTTGCTTAGTTGCCCAGGCTGCCTTTGAACTTGTTATAATCATGCCTCAGGCTCCTGAGCCACTGGGATTATTATAGGCATGCATCACTATGCCTGGCTCCAACAGCAGTATTACCTACCCTTCTGTCACTGTGGAGATGACTGACCACTGTGACAGTCAGTACATAAAGGAGAGGAAAGCCTCTGTCAGTAACATATTCTATGTTCTAATGGTCTTTTCAGCATCATCGCTCTTTAGAGTTAAGCTGACTATATAGCAATTTTCAAGTGGCAGATTGAAAATGAGACATGACATGTAGAGTTTGAATGCAAGTCTACCGATAACAACTCACCACATATTAATAAAAACTAGTAGTAGGAACAATTAAATCAGTCCCAGGGAGAATTGGTAGACAGCATAATAAACTTGTCTTGAAATGAAAGAATTGAAAAGAATTTAAATCACTTGTGAACGGGCATTTCCTTGCCTGGGTCTGACCAGTTACACTTTACTTTTTGATGAGAAAATTAAGTACAAAATGTCAAAACGGCCCAGACTGGTGGTAAGGAGGATATCTGGAACCAGGCTTCTGGAAATTGTTGTTCGGCTTAATCCTTTATTATCTACTGTACCTTGAATACATTGCCTAACCCCCTGTCCCTTAGTTTCCTCAACTGTTAAGTGATTAAACCAATAATTATTACTACTTCACACAGGGTACTGGTGAGTAAGGAATTATTTATAATGATAGAATTCTTAAAATAGTATCTGTAAAAATTGTAGTACTAAATAAAGTTTTTGTCATTATTCACATTTTTTCAGACAGTAATGATTATATTATTTGATTTTCTGGCATAGTTATGCTTATACAAGTAGATACAGTAAATTAAAATGCACTAAACATAATAAGATGTTTTAATGTTTTTATTGAAGTAAAATATATGTAAAATTGACAATTTTAACAATTTTTAAGTGTACAATTCATTGACATTAATTGCACTCACAATATTTTTTTAAATATCACTACTGTCACTTCTAGAATGTTTTCATTACCTAAGAGGAACTCTGTAACCAATAAGCAATCACTTCCCAGTCCCCTATTTCCCCATTGAAGACTCTCAAGTTCTGATAACCTCTTTCTTTATATAGATTTACCTTTTCTACATATTTCATGTAAGTAGACATGAATATAATAAGATATAATAAGACACATTCTTTGTATTTTTGTACCTGGCATATATCACTTACCATAATGTTTCCAAATCATGGGTCCTTATTTTTCAATTCTAATGGGAATATACTTAGAAATGGATGTCCTGGGTAAATGATAATTCAGGATGATATAACAAAATACCACTAACTAGATGGTTTATAAACAAAAGAAATTTGATTTTTATGATTTGAGAGTATGAGAAGTCCAAGATCAAGGGGACATTAGATTTGGTGTTAATTCAAGGATTTATACATGGTCACTTTTCTCTCTGTCCCCACATGGTACAAGGAGGAAAGCAGAAGTCTGAGAGCTCTTTATAAGGACATTAAGCTGATCACTGGCCAAAGGTCCCGACTCCTAATGTCATTACATAAGGGATTAATATTTCAATATATGAATATTGGAGGAAACACAATAACTTTATCCATAACAGGCTGTTAGAGGATGAACTGTCATACCACTTTCCCCCAGAGACTAAACTATCTTATATACCCAAAATCAATATATAAGGTTTCTAGTTCCCCAAGAACTTCTCTAAGGTTCATTATCTTATGATGATTATGATGATTCCTGTCCAGATAAGTTTGAAGTAGTTTCTCATCATAGCTTTGACTTCTATTTATCTCATGATTAATGAGGTTGAGTATATTTTAATGTGCTTATTGGCTATTTGTGCTATCTTTTGGGAAAATGTGTATTTAAATACTGGGTCCATTTCTTAAATGGATTATTCATTTTTTGTTGAGTTAGAAGAGCTCTTTTTATATTCTGCATATTGAACCTCTATCAGAAATATAACTTGAAAATAATTTCTCCAATTCTGCAAGCTATTCTTTCACTTTCTCAATAATGGACTTTGAAAACATTTACGTTTTCGGGGTTTTTTTAATTTGTTGTCAAGGAAATTATGTAATCTTATCAGTAAGTTTTCATGCAAAACTATCCATATGATGTCAACACTCTCAACTTGTAGGAGTTGCAGAAGGGTTTTTGTGAACATGTTTTGAGATTCTTGCTGACATTTGTGTAACTGTAGATTCCATCTTCAGCTTGATTCCCCTCTATGAACCTGGGAGACTCACAGAGATGCAGTTGTCCAGCTGTTGATGACATAAGCCTATAACAAAAGGTTAGTATTCCTGACCTCAAGTGCTAATAATAATTTTGAATTTGAAAATTGAGGACTATCCATCTAAAATTGATTGATTCAAATAAGAAAAACAGGACTATAAAACCATGGTATTTTAAAATAGATATACACTTAACACATAAAAGTTAAAAGTTATTTAAACCCACAAAACTTAGTATTTCTTACTGCTGCATAAGCCTTCATTAGTAAGGAATTCATCATTGAATTTTCTTCTTGATACATGATATTTGCACATTTTGATTGGGTACTTCAATAGGTGTATACAATGTCTAATAATCACATCAGAACAGTAAGTATTTCCATCTTTTAAAACATTTATCACTTTATGTATCGGGAATTTTATACTCTTCTAGTTATTTTGAAATATGTCATATTGTTTTAACTGATACCTATGTGAGAATAGAGCCTTAATGAATTCCTCTACTCTGTGTTTTGGTGCCCCTTTTCAACTTCATTCTGTCCCAACGTCCCCTGCCTTCCCCAATCTCTAGTGGCCATAATTCCATATGATTCTTCTATAAGAATTATTTCTTGGTTTCCATAAATGAATGAGAATTTGTGCTATTTGTCCTTCTACATTTACTTATTTCACTTAACATAACAACTTCCATTTCCTTCCATGTTGCTGTAATGGCAGGATTTCATTCTTTTTAATGGATGAATAGTATTCTACTTTACATATATACCACATTTTCTTTACTCATTCAGGCACTGAAGGTAATGGGGGGGATTGCATATTTTAGCTATGATAAATAGTGATGCAATAAACATTGGAGTGCAAAAATCTTTTTAGTATAATGATTTCATCTCCTTTAGGTATATACCCATTAGTGGAATCACTGGATCACATAATAATTCTAGTGTTAGATTTTCTAGGAAATCTCCATTCTGTTTTCCATTGTGGCTGTACTAATTTACATTGCCACCAATGGTGTAAGATATTTTTTTTTCTTGACAACCACCTGAGCATTTGCCATATTTTGCCTTTTTGATGAGAGTCATGGTAGCCAGGGTAAGGTAATATCTCATTTTTTAAATTTATATGTCCATGATGAATACTGAGAATAAACATTCTCTCATGTACTCCTTGGCCATTTATATATCTTCTTTTGAGAAGTGTATTTTAATTCTTTAACTCTGTTTTAATTGTATTGGTTTTTGATGATATTCAGCTTTTTGAGATCATTTATATATTCTGGAGATCAATCTCTTATCAGATGATTAGTTTTAAATATTTTCTCCTACTCCTTGTTCTTTTTTTCCCCCCCACAGATTGAACCCAGGGGAACTCAACCTGTCTCAACTCAACTTTGAGACAGGTCCTTTCTAAGTTGCTGAGGTTGGCTTTGAACAGTCCTCCTGCTTTAGCCCCTGGAGACGATGGGATTAAAGGCAGACACCATGCCTTAGTTCTGTTGATTATTTCTTTTTCTGTGCAGAAGCTTCTTAATGTAATGTAATCCTACTTGTTTATTTTTGTTTTTGTTACCTGAGCTTTTGTGGTACTACCTAAAAAATCATTGCCCGCACCAAGGTCTTTAAGTATTTCACTTTTGATTTTTTTTGTAGTATTCATACTGTTGAGCTTTAACATTGAGATCTTTGATCCATTTTGAATGTAGAGAGAGAAAAGAATCTAGTTCCATTCTTTTGCATGTGCATACCCAATGGTGCCAGCATATTTATTGAAATTTGCCATTTTTCCACTACATATTCTTGATGCCTTCGTTAAAAAAAAAAAAAAATTGGTTGGCTCTATAATTTTGGCTAAATTTCTGTTTTCTGTTTTCTGTATTCTGTTTCATTGGACTATGTGTCTAATTTTATACCAGTACCATGTTGTTTTAGTTAATATAACTTAGTAGTGTTTTGAAATTAAACATTTTGATGGCTCTATCATTAAGGGGTTTTGGTTTTGTTTGGCTCTTATTTTCCTTTCTGGAGAATCTTGTTGGCTCCTTTGGGTCTTTGAATTTTAAAATAGTTTTCTATTTCTGTGATGGAAGTATTGCATATCAATTACATTTCATGTATAGATTGCTTGGGTAGTATGCTTATGTGAAAATATTGATTCTTTTTTTTATCAATGAACACAGTATGTTTTTGTATTTTTGGGGGTGTACTGGGGATTGAACTCAGGGACACTCGACCACTGAGCCATATCCTCAGCCCCATTTTGTATTTTATTAGAAACAGGGTCTCACTGAGTTGCTTAGTGCCTCATTTTGCTGAGGCTTTGAACTCAAGATTCTCCTGCCTCAGCCTCCTGAGCTGCTGGGATTATAGGCATGCCATATCTTGTCCAGCTATGTTTCCATTTTTTTGTGTCCTCTATTATTTATTTCATCAGTGTTTTATAATTTTCATGGTAGAGATCATTCATTTTCTTAAGTATATCCCTCAAGATTTCATTGTTATTATTTTGAATAGAACTGATTCCTTAATTGTCAGCAAATTTGTTATACTTGTACAAATATGCTACAGTTTTTGCATGTTGATTTTGCATCCAGGAACATTACCAAATTTATTCATAAATTGTAACAGTTTTTTGATAGAGTATGTGAGTCCTTCTATGTATGGAATCATGTCATCAGAAAAGACTGGTAATTTAAATTCTTCCTTTCCAATTTGGATGCCTTTGATTTCTGTCTCTTTCCAGATTGTATCTATTGAAACTTTCATTACTATATTAAATAACAGGAATGAAAGTGGACATCTTATTGTGTTTTTTATTTTAGAGGAAATATTTTCACCTTTTTTTTTACTAGTATGATGTTGGCTATGTATTATTCATGTATAGTCACTAACATTCTGAACTATGTTCATTTTTAATTTGTGAGATTTTTATCATAAAGGAATGTTCAATCATATTTAGAGCTCCTATATTAAATTTATCATGTGTGTTTTGATGTGTCATATTGTTTTTTATTGATTTGAGTTTTTTGAGCCCTCCTTGAATCCCTGGGATGCATCCCATCCAATCATGGTATGTGTTGATTTGAATGTGGGGCTGAATTCAGTTTACTAGTATTTTTGAGGACTTTTATACCTGTGTAAATAAGGGATATGTGTCTGTTATGGATTGGATATGAAGTTTCTCCCCAAATTTCCTGTGTTAATGCAGTAATATTCAGAGGTAAAATGAGATTGTGAGAGCTATAACCCAATCAGTCCATTCTAAGTTGAATGTTCTGAGTGGGTGATTACCTTAGGCTGGAGGGGGTAGCTGGAGGAGGTGGGTTACTGGCAGTGTGCCTTAGAATGGCTCAACTTCCCTGCATCCCCTACCCCATTAATCTGTCATGTATCAGCTTTCCTCTGCCATGCCATAGACCATGTTGTTCTGCTTTACTGTAGGCCCAGAGCCATGGCATCAGCTGTCTATGGACAAAGAAAGACCTCTAAAATTGTGAGCCAAAATAAACCTTCCCTCTTCTAAATTATCCTTCACAGATATTTTGGTCATAGCAATGCAAAAAGATTAAAACAGAGTCTATATTTTTGTTGTTTTATCTTCCTTTTGTTTGGGTATCAATGTTCTGCTGGCTTTATGAAAATAGTTTAATCATGTGTTTTCATTTCAAATTTTTGAAATAGTTTAAGTAGAATTGGAATTAATTCTTTAAGTGTTTTGTACAATTCAGTTGTAAAGCCATTAGGTCTAGATGATGTTTTTTTTTTTTTTTTTAAGATGGGAGACTTAATTATGGCCTTATATACTCATTATTGATCTTATTAGATTTTCACTAGATTTTCTACTTATCTGGAGGAGTCTCAGTGTCTTTCTGTCTGTCTCTCACTCTCTCACTCTTAAGTGAAATTTACTTTTTGCTCTTGCCTTAGTGTTTCTTGGGTTTCAGCACCCTGTTCTGATTTAAAGATGGTATCACAACCAGACATTTAACTATTCATCCTTCCTTCCTCTATCCATCCAAGCCTCCAACTACTCATTTATCTGTCAATCTATGTATTTGTCCATCCATCCACCCACCCAGTCAGCCAAAAATCATTGACATTAAGTGAAAAACTCCTAGGTGTTATGTTCTCTACTAGGCACAGGGAATACAAAATTAAATAAGATCCAGTCCCTTTTCTCACTTAAGATAGTTCATAGGCTAGGAGAAGTGCTTATAGCACTTCTATAACTTCTGTAGAAGTTTTGACATGAGCAGGACTTTGAATTTTATCATGGCCCTTGTTTCAGTGTAGTTTGAGTCCTTATAAGTAGATCAGGGCAAGGCCCTTGGTTCAGTGTGCTTTGTGTCCTTATAGGGAGATCAGGGTGGGGCCTTTGGATCATGATGGCGTGTGTCCTTATAAGGACAACTGGGTGGGCCCTAGTCCAGTGTGCATTGCATCCTTATAAGGAGATCAGCACAATCTTTGATTCAATGTAACCTGCTTTGTTATATGATTATCTTCCCTCCTATTGATGATTGTAGTGAAATATTTCAATTCCCTTACTTCTCATTTTGGGTATGCTCTCCGATATGCTTTGAGGTTTCCATGGGGGTTGCACTGAAAATGAGAAAGAGATGCCACTCTGGTGTGAATCTGTAGCAACAGGACTTCAGCAGGATACAGATGCAGCTGCTGTAAGTCTCTCCCAACCTCTCCCCAACCCCTCCCCCTCAGTTATTAATGTTACAGTGATATATATATAGTATTTATTCAAAACCATAGAATAAAACTGAGGTGTTTTTATACCTTATTCTCTTACATCTTATAGAAAACATAAGCTGTACTAGCTTTAATGATTGTCATGAATTCGCTTTACCAGGGATCTTTTTTTCTTCATCAAGATCTGAGTTCCCTATATAATGTTCTTCAGTGCAACCTGAAGGACTCTCCTTTCACAGAGCACATCTAGTGGGGACCAACTTCCAGGCTCTTGTTTATTGCATGCTCTGGTTTAAGAGAGCTTCTTCAACATGTGCAAGGACTTGGTTTATTTCCCAGAACTGCACACACACACACACACACACACATTTGTCAAGCTGAGTGTATGGTGTGTGGCTGTGTTTTAGGTAGTTTTTTGTCTCTGTGACCAAAGCACCCAATAAGAACAACTTGGAGGAGGAAAAGCTTCTCTGGGGCTAACAGTTCAGAGGTCTCAGTTCCTAGACAGCTGACTCCATTGCTCTGCCCAAGGTGATGCAGTCCATCATGAGGCAAGGGCCCAGTGGTGAAAAGCTCCTTGGTTCAGGGCAGCAATGAAACAGAAAACTTGAGCGTAGATACGATGAGGTATTTCAAAGCCAGATTTTTACAGGTTTTCAGACTTGAAAAGATCTCTGAAGTAGCCTACGAATTTTAATTTCTAAGCAAGAAAATATCGATTTCTATGACCCACTAAAGCACAAGACCTTCCAGTGCCCTTTCTTATTCTTACTATGATAGTAGAAAAGGTCCTGGAGGCCCAAAAGTGAGATGACCACTGGGGGTTATGCCCAGGTGTAACTGGGTCATTTCTTGTTCTGACCTTCAAGAAGCCATTGTGAGGGAATTTCAAATGGCAGGCATATAAGTGAGTGGCTGCAGCTGGGTTTTTGTCCATAAGAACAGGAAACTCTTGGTGGTCACCAGTTGGATGCACAGATAGTTAGTATGTTTGGTGGTGGTTGGTGGCTAGTGGCTGGTAGTTGTGGTCTTTGAATAGTGTTTTTTTTTTTTTTTTTTAATTTGGATTATTTTTTATTTTTTGCTTTTTTTCTGTTTTGGTGTATTATTATATATTTTAAGCTATCATCCTTGTTCCAGTTTAGGATGAGCAGTAAGAGTATTCAGAGTAGTGTAGCACTGCAGGGGCAGAGCTCCTGCTATAAACCTGCCATCACGAACCATTATAGGGTCCTGCAGGACACTGCGGAAGGGGGCTTCATCCAGGTGAAACTTGCCAGCCATCTGTTCACTGGGACAGAGGCTGTGGTGAAGGTTTTGTCAAAAGTAGCTTCCAACTTCCCCTTGTTCTCTGAACTGGATATGATGAAGGCCTTGGACCACCAAAATACGATCCAGCTCTTCCAGGTCATTGAGACCATTGACTGTATCTACATTGTCGTAGAGCATGAAGATGGAGGACGGCTATGGACTTCATCCTGGAACTTGATGGCATGCAGGAGGAGGAAGCCCACAGATAGCTCAGGCAGATCTTGCAAGCTGTGCAGTACTGTCACCAGCAGGGTATTGTGCACCTTGACTTCAAGGCAGAGAATGTGATGGTGGATGCCAGCAGCAGTGTCAAACTAATCAACTTAGGCTTGAGCACCAGATTCACAGCTAGAGAGGTGCTGAAGAGGGTCTGGGGCACTCTCTTATACCTTGTCCCTAAAGTTGCCCAGGGGAAGGAATATGAGGGCCTCCTGGCAGATGTCTGGACTCTGGGTGTCATTCTCTATTTTATGCTCACAGGGAGATGCCCATTTATGGCAGCAAGCAGAAAGCAGCTGAAGAAGCTGATCATGAAGGGTAAATATGACATTCACCCTCATGTGTCAAGGGAATACAGAGCCTCATCAATGAAATCCTGACAGTGGATCCCATGCAGAGGCCCACCATACAGCAGGTAATGAGGGCACCCAGGGCTGAGCCAGGGTGAGGAAAATGGTTTGCCCAGTCCTTCTAGTGAGGCACACCCCAAGTTTCTGCATCTCACAATTATAAAAATCATGATTGAGATGAATTACTACCCCTATAAAGATACCTGGGTGTCCACGGCCAGTGGGAAATTTGACCATGCTATCATGAATGGTCATCCTCAAGCACCAGAGAACCCAGCGGGAGGCATGTGTACACCAGGTGAAGTCCCTGCATGGCCCAGGCCCTATGGATTCTCCCAGGGTCTGCCCCAAGAAGTGTTCTAGTGAACCTGCCCTTCCTTTGCCCTATAAGCAAAAGCAGCCTGAGGAAGCCCGGCAGCCCAGCAGAAGGCTGCTGGAAGTGCCAGCATGCTTGACATTCCTCTCAGCTTCCTCCATGAGGACATGCCCCACAGCCTAGCTTCCAGCCTCACCCTGTGCCCAGCAGCTCATCCTCCTAAGGGACCTCCACAGGGCAACCCCATCACAGCAGCAGGGGTTTAAAGATGCTGAGGAGGAGAATCATCAAATGCACCAAGCAACTCTGCTGCATATTCTGCTTCTGTTGGCTAGTGTCCAGAAACAGGGTGGTTCCAGTGGAAATGCCCAGCCCAGACAGAACCAACAGACAGGCAGAAGACCCTGAGCTCTGTGGATGCTGATATCATGGTGTGGGCGTGAGGTGTGCCAACTGGCTCAGGCCTCTCTGCATGGATTCCAGGCAGCAGCTCATCTGCATTCACCAGGAGTCTCCTGGGCAACCATCTGTGATACACATCATAGAGAATTTTCCTTGGGACAGTTCCCTCTGCCCTCCGCTTTGTTCTCTCTCCAATGCTTTGGAAGAAATTTATTCTTAATTTTTCTTCACAAATTTTATAATAAAATTGATGTTGCAAATGTTTCAAAAAGGCAGACTTTTTTTTTTTTTTTTTTGAAAGGCCTCAAGGCAAGGGTCAGAGCCCAGCAGCCAACCTCTCCAAGGCCTGGACCACAGTGCCTCCCTTTCCTGCTCACTATATATATTTGCTCACTTTGAGCCATTATAGATGCAGACTTATTTACCTTAAGCCAATGAACATGGGGCCTTATTCCCCTTGACATAGTATAGTGGAGATTGTCCTCATGAGCCAGTGCAGACTTGATTCACTTTGAGCTGATTGCTTTGGCTAGAAGGAATCCTTTTCCTGGTCTTCAGGCCCCACCCTGAAGTGTGTGGGGAGGGAAGGTTGCAGCTGTTGGAGAAGATAGCATCTCTTGCAAGGCATTGGAGTGTTCTATGGCTTTATCTCAATAACCCCACACACAGGGAAGTGAGATCTGGGCCAGTGCCCACCCAACAGCTTCTCCTGGTCACAGCTAAAGGTTGTAGAGAGTGAACACCTGGGATTTGGGGAGGAAAGATGTGAAATCTCAGAGATACTACTTACATAAATCCTAGTATACCCATGTGGAATTGCTCTTATCTTTAGGTTCTGTTGACACTGAATTTTGTAAAGTGAAATGCATACAAAAAGTAAGAATCTCAGGTTAGGACAGGAGGCTTTGTATACCCACCAGTCCTTGAATATCTGCAGATCTGGCACTCCCAGAGCTGCCCTGGGCAGCTTCTTTCTGCCCTTCCCTTTAGTGGTCAGAAATTGCTACGTTTAAAAAAAAAAAAAAAAAGATTTCTCATGTGTCATTTTAATAACTTGCTCTTTTTCACCTTGAGCCAAGAAAAAAAGTTTTAAAGTAAAAATACTTTATTATGATGTTTTAACCAGATGTATTATTTGTAAGTTTCAGCAATGAAGGAATACGTATTATCCTATTCACATAACAGATTTTCCCCAATTAATATATCCAGAAAAACACTCTCAATATGTAAAATATAGCTACGAGAATTTTAGTTTTGTAGCATTTTAATAATGATATGGGATGGAAGAATTTTAAATAACTCTAAGTTGTATAGTTCAATATTTTAAAACTTTAGTCTTAAAATAACATGTCCATAACAAAATGTTTCCAAGAATCTCTTAAAGAGTTGGTAAGAAGGCAGCCCTGCGCTTTCTTGTGCCATTTTAGTTGAAAATGCTGTGTGCTTATCAAGCCCATAGTCATAGAAGTGGCAATTAAAATATAAAAATAATAAAAGGGTTTGTTTGTTGAGAATTAATTGTTAAAGCTGAGCACTCTGGAAACTAGGCTGTTAGAGCTACAATTCCTGCCTTAACCTCCTTGTGCCTCATTTTCACAAATGTGAAATGTGGACAGTAATAGATCACTCTGAGAAGACTAAAGGTTCAACCTAAGTTATAATTTGGATATTGTTCAGACCCACACTTGCCACCATACTGACAAATGTTCATGCATATATAATTTAATGAATAAATGATTCATGATACCATGATTACACATTTTCAAAGTAAGGTCTGGTTTAAAGCCTAACTTTATGTTAAGTGATATGAAAAAAAATTCCTACCTGACCTGTCCCAAGTCCTAAACTTATGGTCAATATTAATCTGATCAGAATCACTAGAGTTAAAAAGATGTGAAATATTTTAATCACAAAAGGGAGTTTGCTGAGAGCCATAGCCAAGTAGGAATGACACATGGCATTTTTGGTTGAAAGGTGATGCCAGCAAGCCATTGAGATGATAATGATTATGTTAAGATGTGCATTCAATGGAGATTAGACCCCTGCCAACTGCCTCTGCCTGCTACTTTGGAGCTCTCTGCTACTTTGGAGCTCCTCCTGGACTCCCGGAGAGTTCCGATTGGTTGGGGAAGTGTGGTAGGAGGGAATTCCAGAGGAGGGATTTCCTGTTGGTGTAGGGTGTCCCGGGAGAAGGCCGCGTGCATGGCATTCGCGGGAGTTTTGGAAATAAAGTTTGTTCCTGCTTGAGTGACTCATGATTTTGTGCCCAGCCACACTGCGGCATTTGGCAGCCCATATGGGGAATTCCTGAAGCTCAGAGGTAAGTGAAATTGCTCACCCTGAGGGAGGGCGAGAGAATGGGTGGCCATTTCAAAAAACAATGTGTTCTTGTTTTGATTTGTTTTGTTTTTGTTTCAAGCTGCCTATCCCTAGAAATTTCTCAGGCAAACTGGGAAAAATGGTTGGCTCAAGGTTTGAAGTTGTTCGGCCCTGAGGAAGAGATAGAGATAGACCATGAAAATACATTTCAAGAAAATAGGAAAATTGATGCAATGATTTTTTGTTCCGTTTTTGTTTCATTCTGTTTCGGTTTTGTTTTATGTTATCTTGTTGGGTTCCGTTGTCTTTATAGTAGATTAGAAATTAGTAACAAACAAACCGAAAGAGTGTTAAGTAAATTGTTAGAGGTTCAGACCATGGAGAAAGACATTCTAGATCAAGCAAAAGAGAAGGTCTCTCGAGCTAGTCAGACAGAGGAAGAAAATTTAAAGGAAAAGGTGCTATTAGGGAAAAAGCTACAACAGGAGGCTGCTACTAACACCGTTCTATCACCAAAGGGCGTAATTCAACCAACAGCTCCACCTATAGAGACAGCTGAGTGGCCCTCAACCCCCATAGTTGATAGATGGGATCCTGAGACAGGACCTCAAAGATTAGCATGCCCTGTACTTAAGCAGGCAGGAGGGCAGTGAATTCACCATGCTCTAGATTTCAAAACAGTGAAGCAGTTAAAGGAGGCTGTAACAACCTATGGTCCCCAAGCACCCTTCACTATAAGCATGGTCGAGTCCATTACTAACTTGGACATGATGCCAGCAGATTGGGATAGCATGGGTAAACCTGTGCTAAATGGAGGACAATATTTGTTATGGAAGGTTACCAATGAGGAATTTTGCACGGAGACAGCTAGGCGAAATGCAGCAGCCGGTTACCCTCAAAGAAATCTAGATATGTTGTTAGGAAAAGGACCTTATGAGGGTCAATGGCAACAAATTGAGTATGATCCTGCTATATATGCACAAATTGCTGCAGATGCAGTTAGGGCATGGAAGACTTTACAAGGACATGGAGATTTACAAAGTCAATTATCTAAGGTAATACAGAGAGCTAATGAACCTTATGCTGAATTTGTAGATAGGCTTATTCAAACAGCTGCCAGAGTTTTTGAGGATACAGAACAAGCAATGCCATTAATAAAACAACTGGCTTATGACCAAGCAAATCGTTGCTGCAGAGAGGTCATTAGACCATGGAAACATGAGGATTTAAACACATATATTAAATTATGTAGAGACATTAATGAAAAAGGGCAAGTCTTGGCAGCTGCAGTACAACAGGCTTTAGATGCCAGGCCAAAAACATGCTACAATTGTGAACAAATAGGACATTTTAAAAGGAATTGCCCCATAGATAGAGGGTTTAACAAAACTAGGTATCAAAGGAATAGAATACCGGGTATTTGCCCACAATGCCATAAAGGGAGACATTGGGCTAATGAATGCCATTCTCAAACCACCATAGAGGGTACTCCCTTATCAAAAAATGGACAAGGACCAGGTGTTTACTCACGATATCGTGGAGAAAAGCATCGGGCTCATTGCCAAAAAACGGACTGGGGGGCCCAATGCTCCGGGGCCCACAACCACAAATATACGGGATACTGGAGGAACCCAGCAACACCATCAGGGTAGTGCCCAGGACACATTATCCATTAAATCCCTCATCAGATAAACCAGAGGGAGTGCAGGGTTGGACATCTGTGCTTACGCCAGAGCAGTACTAACTTCAGAGATGGGAGTTCAAATCATTCCCACAGGAGTGAAAGGACCTCTTCCCAAAGGAACAGAAGGCTTATTATTGGGACGCAGTTCTTCTACACTAAAAGGACTTATGATAAGTCCTGGGGTAATTGATCCCGATTATGAAGGTGAAATAAAAATTATAGCTAGTTCTCCAAAGGGTATATCAGTAATTTCACCAGGAGATAGAATAGCACAGTTAATAATAATACTGAGCCCACATGATAAATTTTCCAGTAATAGTATAGAAAGAGGTTCCAGGGGATTAGGCTCCACAGGTGTAGATTGGGCTATGCTGTCTTTAAATTTAGATTCTCTCCCAATGCTAAAACTAAATATTCAAGGACATGAATTTAATAGGCTACTGGACACAGGTGCTGACCTTAGCATCATATCTCGTCAAGAATGGCGAAAACATTGGTCATTACAACAAACCACTCCAATGCTTCCAGGCCTAGGAGTGGCGACTAATCCCCATAGAAGTGCAATGGTATTAGATTGGAAGGATCCTGAAGTATGTGAAGGAACTATACAACCATATGTATTGGATCATCTTCCTATAAATTTATGGAGACGAGATGTCCTAGATCAATTAGGTTTGACATTAAGAAATAACATCAATCCAAATGTGCCCATTATTAGGGCTAGACAAGGTTTCAGGAAAGAAAAAAAGATTAGGAGAACAAGAACAACGTATAGCAGCACCAATTCAAATACATCAAGGAATAAATAGACATGGATTGAGTTTTCAGAAGGGGTCACTTAGGCAATAAAAATTACTTGGAAATCAGAAAGACCAGTATGGGTTCCTCAGTGGCCCCTGACTAAAGAAAACACACAAGTAGCCCAAGACCTGGTCAAACAACAATTAGTGGAGGGACATATACAACCTTCTGTATCTCCCAATAATACTCCCATTTTTGTCATCAAAAAGAAATCTGGTAAATGGAGATTATTGCAAGATTTATGAGCCATTAATAATGAGATGGTTATTATGGGACCTGCTCAATCAGGGATTCCTCGATTGTCTGCTTTGCCAAAAT